GGGGTACCCCCCCACCCCCCTGCATCTGCTGCTGGAGATAAGGAAGTCGTGACGCATCTGCAGCCAGAGATAATGAAGTCGTGGTTAACCGCATCTGAAAAGATAAACACACAGTGGTTACAGTTTCTACACACATCTGGTTATATAGATAAGAATATAACTGTATAACTGTATTTGATAACAGATACAGCCCCGCATAATATGGTATAGTTAAGTATTTAACTTGTTCTTGTTAAGTTTGGATGTTCCTTACTTGATCTTGTAAAATGATCTATTTAAGAATGATGAGTGTGGAATAAACACAACAGCCACTCACCAGGCTATTGTTCATTTTTTTCTGTAGCAAAAAAAAGTAGTAATACAGAATGTCAAACTACTTTTAATGAACAGCATATTACTGCGCTCCTTATTACTTACATCCATGTAGATAGGGTGAACACAATACCTTTTTTAAAGCGCACCTCTGTCCCGGTTCGTTTTCGACATGCTTTCCACGAGCCCCCAACCACTGCATAGCTATGCTGCGGTTTGTACCCCATTCTGTAATCATAGATAACAACACAGTACACGTTTTTAGAGATAAACCCAGACATACCGTTTTTTTGTGTGAGAGAGCACGACTCAGGGTATTATCAGAAACAGACGTGCCACTTACAGCAAGAAGCCAGAGGTGTTTTTATCACTCACGACGGCTTAGGTAAGTGAAACATTTCGTAAACTCAGTTATAAATAGCCAGGTTTTAAAGAATGGGTTTAAAGAGTGTTTTTAGAGGTGTCCAGACAAGACCAGCATGAGCACAGGTAACTCTGCGAGAAAAAACAAATACAATTACTTTTGTTATGCTAAAAAGTATGTGTGTTAACACTACCATTTAATTCACACCAGCCGGGTCCTACAATGCCATTAACGGAGATCGTCTGGAAGACCGTTTCAGTAAGTATTTTAGCCACTACCTTTTAGCTACTAACTCTACCCTATGTACATTCGTTTCTTTTTTCTGAAAAAAAACTATTTTGCACCCCCCAGACACCTATTTTCGTGTGTATGAACAAGCCTTTCAACAACAACAACAACAGCAGCAGCAACAGCAACAACAATCGCTACTGACCCCTCATGCATACGGTAAGTTTAAAGAATCAATACTGGATTAAATATATATTGTGTGTGTGTGTGTGTGTGTGTGTGTGTGTGTGTAGACAATACAGCTCAACTCTCTCTTTTTTCTTTCTAAAAAAGAATCGGCTAACCAGCATCAACCGCCCCTAGCTGACCCTCAGGAAAGTGAGTATTTTCACATTCTTTCGGTTAACTCTATTTGTATACCTTTTTTAATATATAATAAGTGTTCTTACTGCGCGTATTACCTTTTAGTTCCAGACGATGTCCTGCTGATGCAGTCCCCCGCTGGTGAGGAACAAGAAGAGCAACGATACAATCAAGAGGGCCCGGAAGTTCAGGATAGAGCCGTGCAGCATCAGACAACTCAGACAGCGTCCCCTCAAGATGAGCCTGATCAGAAGCCTGTGAATCAACCAGCCCCTGGAGAATCAGCACCGGTCCAGCCAGAGCAACCACGCTCGAGCAGGGCTTTGATCCGATCAAGCCGTGCAAAACGGGAGCACTCACCATCCTCTGACTCCTCCTCAAGTAAGCCTATTATTATTATTTCTGCATGTATGTTAACCCCCCTCATTCATCAGCATCCTGTATTAACCCTCGTTTTTATTTACCCGTACAGGCTCCAGTAGGAGCAGGGTCCAGCAGGTGCGCGGTTGTGGATGTACAGGAAGTATTTTAAAACCCTCATTCATCAGCATCCTGTATTAACCCGTGTTTATATTTACCCATACAGGATCCCGTTGGGGGAGGGTCCAGTGGGCGCACGGTTGTGGATGTCCAGGAAGACGAGATGACCGGAGCTTCAATCTGTATGCTAAGTGTCACTCGAACACGTTATTAATGCATCTGAACCAATTGTTATGTGAATCTTTTCAATTGATGGGTGATATTCTGGCTTGTTACAGCAACAACAGTGTTATTAAAAACTAAGATGGATGAAGATCTGATTAACGTGTCTCAGGATGAATGTATTGACAATGTTTTGCCATCAGAGGGGTGTAATATATTAAGCATATTAGAAGCAGGTGTTGAGTGCACTACTGCAGGAAATAACACGTCTAAACCGTATTGACGATGTTCAGCCACTAGATGGGGGTAACACCATAGACATATTACATGCCCAAGTAAGTGTGTTATTGTAGGAAATAAGAGATGCCTCTCAAAGAGGCCAGGGTTTTAACCAAAATGACAAACTGTTGCTCACTCTGAAAGCACTCAAAATGATCAAGAGACCCCCTCAACGGGGATAACAGTCCCTGAAGCTGGATCCTTTTAAACGATCTACGATAAATCAACTGGGTGTAGGAGGATAGCGTTCCACTGCTCTGAAGGTAGATTGAACGGTTTTGCTGTTGTTTGGTAGGGCTTCAGATAAATGGAACCCAGAGCTCTGTAAATTGCTTTATTCGATGGTCTGTTCAGTTATGATAATAAATGTTTGAAAGGTGATATTTGACTCTGATTATTCTTCATAAAAGAACACGCTGCATGAGCTAAACAGTGAAAAGAAAACTTTTGAATTCCTGGGTTGTTTTTACCACGGTTGTCTTAGCTGTTTTCCCGGCCATGCAATTCACCCTTTAACGGGAAAAACCTTCGAGGAGATGTATGAAGAGACCTGGGATAGGTTGGCTAAAATGCAGACCGTGTACGGGCTGACAGTCGTGGTCATGAAAGAGCATAGCTGGAGTGAAATGAAAAAATCTCGCGAGAGTGTGAAAGCTTTCCTACAATGCTATAAAGTCCCAGAGCCATTATCTCCGCGAGATGCGTTGTACGGTGGCCGTGTTAGCCCAGGGACTCAGATATACAGCAGTCGAAAATGAAAAGATCAGTTGCGTGGATTTTACATCATTGTATCCATTTGTAAATTACACTTGTCCGTACCCCATGGGTCACCCTGAGATTATATTCAGGGATTTTAAGCCTGTCCAATCTTATTTTGGCTTCATCAAGGCTAAAGTGTATCCACCCAGAGGCCTGTTTTTCCCTGTGCTACCCTACAGATCCAGCAGAGGGAGACTTGTGTTCACACTATGCAGAACTTGTGCTGAGGTGAATCTGCAGACCGGGCCGTGCCCGCACTC